TCTCTTTTGTTTTTCTGTGCCCTTTAGTCTATTTTATAAGAAATTAATATTGCTACTTCTACTATTTTTCTGTTACCATTTGCTTGATATATGTTTATCCCTCTTTTAATTTTTAGTGCATTTTTGTGTTTATGTCTAAGGTGTGTCTCATAGACAACACATTGATGGGCCGTGTTTTCGTATACATTTTGCTACACTCTGTTTTTTGACTCATGTGTTTAGCTTCAATGTAATTTTTTATCCAAAACCAAGAAACCAAATTCAGTGCCATCCAGTTGATTCGACTCATAGTGACCCCTCCTTGGGTTTCTGAGGTGGTATTTCTACAGAGGTAGATTGCCCAATATTCCTTCCAAGGAGTGACTGGTGGGTTTGAACCACCATCCTTCTAGTTAGCAGTCAAAGGCCTTAGGCACTATGCCACCAGGGCTCCTAGGTATGAATTTACTGTAATCATTTTGCTATGTTGTTTTTAAGGTGCTGCTGATGGATTCTTTGTTACATATATTTGTCTATGATGAGTTCATTTTTAAGGGATATTTCCTTTGTTGCTTCTGTTTTGGTGTTTACTGAATTTCTATAATTTTCTTCTTTTTTTAAATTTGGTGACATAGTTTATTGATTTTATATGAGGTTACTGTAATTCATTAACTTCTCAAGTTTAAAACTCTCTATTCTATCTTGATATCATCTTGACTTCCTTCTCAACTGTAATTTTGGTAACTATATTATTCATTCCCTCTTTTTGCTTTGTATGTGTCATAATATACAAATTGACATATCTGGTTCCTTTTTTCAGTCTGTTAAGTTTATATTATTTTTGAAACACCTAGATCTGGGTTAATTTCCAGGTGATGTTGTATTTCTTAGTCTCAGGTTGTTGTCTCCCATTGTTGGTTCTCTGTCAGAAGGACCTCCTTTAGCAGAAGATGGCACAAGACAAAGAGAGAGAGTGAAAATGGGCCCTCAGAGCAAGACTTGAGTGCCTTCAGGCAGGAAGCTTAACAGTGGAGCTAAAAGAGCTGTAACAGTTGGCCACGCCGGACAGAGGCCTGAGTGTGGCCAGTGCAGGTGTTGCCTCAGAGGATCCTGTACCAGGATCTTCCTGCAGAAAGCCTCCTGCACAAGAGCTTAGAGACCTATTGACAGTAGGCTTGCTAGCAGGGCTAAAAGAAATGTAACACTTGATTGTGCAGGGCAAGAGAGGCCTGAGTGTGCCTCATGCTGAGGTTGTATGCCTACTTGCCTGGGTATCTTGGTGTCAAGAGAGCCACACAAATCTGTGTAGTATGGTGGGAGCTTGTAGCAAAGGCTATGAAGGGCCAGTGGCAGTAGGAGCCTCCAGAGATGTATAGATCTCCAAGCAGTATGGTGGTAGCTAGAGGCAAGAGTGACATGAACACAGTATCTGACCTAACCCACTGAGTGTCTGCCTGGTAGCATAAGAATGGACATGGGTAATTTGGGGAAGAGTAAGCAGTTTTCCCTTTCAGGATATTTTGTTATCATTTACTCTTTGCTTTCTATAAATAGTAATAATGGATTTCACTTTGCCAATATTATTTAAGTGCCTTGTGTGTCTGACTCGATCACAGATGAATGTAACACCCATGGAATGGTTGATTCCAATGGGTTTATATGCCTCATTACTAGCAATCTTATGGTTGTCTACACATTTGAGGCACAGTCTGTCTGTGTGAGTAGATAAGATAAGACAGATAAGACAGAACAGAAATGTATATATAGGTTATGAGTCAGAATTCTTTTGCTGTGACCAAAAGGCCTGAGAAAATTGTTTGCCCTGCATTTGTGTGCCCTGTGAGTGATTTTCTTCTCCCACCTGTCACCTGGACTTCTAAGTGAAAAAAGCTTATCACAGCTTAGTCCAGGTAATTATTTGGAGAGACATTATTTCTGGAACCTAGTGGCATGATATTTTCACAAACTTGCCATCTGACTTTGAGTGTGCATGTGTACATTCTGTGTATGTGTAAATGTGTATACACCAGTATGTCATTATAAAGAGTTTGGAAATATCTTTTTCTGCAGGTAGTTTTCTTTCTTTCCTGGAATTACTTTCATGCAATACAGTATTGGAGAGTTATCCCATCTCCAAAGTCCTTTGCTTAGTAAGCAGGGAGAATTGGGAGATCCTTACATATTCTGCACAACCAGCTACAGGCATACCTCAGACATATTGATGATTGGGTTCCAGATCACCATAATGAAGTGAATAACAAGAGCTTTTGGTACCCCAATGCATATAAAAGTTATGTTTACAGTGTGCAATAGTCTTATGAAAAAATTTGAAATGTTGTGAGAATTACCAAAATGTGGCACAGAGACAAAAGTGAGCACATGCTGTTGCAAAATGGCTCCTATTAGACTTATTTGAGGTCTATTAGACTTATTTGAGGATGCAAACCTTCAATTTTTTGGGGAAAAAATCACACACATACACACAGTATCTGTGAAGTACAATAAAGTGACACACAATAAAATGAGGTATGTCTTTATTAAATGGTATGAAGATTAGGTTTTTCTAGTACTGATTTGGAAGTTAACAAAATGTGGAAGCAATCTGTATTGCTGTCTCACAGCTCTCTCCTTTACTGTCCTACATTTCCAAATGAATTATGCGTTTTTCTTTTTCCTAATGATGACATGTGATCTCCTCTTCTCATAGGTGAAGTGTGTAGTCAAGAGAACAAAGGTCCTAGAATCCATAAACTTTTAATGTCATAAGTGGTTTACAGTGAGTGCTAAAACCTTCACAAACATTCTCATTTAATCTCACAGAAGTCCTGAGGTGAGATAGGTGAAATTATGGACAATTTTCATTTCTGTCTCTTTTTTTTTCTGCTTCCATATAAACATACAGAACCTTTTTCAAATCAGAAAACTATATATGTACATATATATACTTACATACATGTTGTCCTTGTTATGTGTCGTGGAGTCAGACCCAACTCATAGTGACACCTCCTTGTGTTTCCGAGGCAGTATCACTACAGAAGTAGATTGCCCCATCTTCCTTCTGAGAAGTGGCTGGTGGGTTTGAATGGCCAGCCTTCTAGTTAGCAGTCAAGTGCCTTAGGCACTATGCTATCAGAGATCCCATATACACACATGAAAAAAATGAAATGTTTTTTTTCTTTGTTTCCTCTTTCTCTATAGAATTGGGACCACAATTTTATTTTATTGATTTTCCATGTTCTTGTTGTGTGCCATCGAACCAATTACAACTCATAATGATATAACAACAACAATGACCCTATATGATGGAGTAGAACTGTCCATTGGATTTCCTAGACTTTAATTTTTAAGGGAGCAGAGGGCCAGGTCTTTTCTCCCATGGAGCACCTGGTGGGTATTAGCTGCCCAACTCTTAACTATGGCACAACCAGGGCTCCTTTGCTTTTTCATATATTGTTTTTATCTCATATGCGGATCTCAATGTCATTAAATAAATGTTTTTGGGAAAATATGACCTATTCAATAAATCCATATATGAAGTTAAATAAGTTTTATTGTTTATTCTTCTGCCACAAACATGTAGGATAAATGATGGACCATTTATACAAAATAATATTATGGAGCCATAAAATTCATGTTTTAAAGGAGTAATTAATAACCTGAGAAAATCCTCACAGTATAAATAAAAAAGAAAGCTATAAAAATATAAAGGAGCTCTGTTAGTGTAGTGCCTAAGGCACTGCTAACAAGAAGGCTGGCGGTTCAAACCCACCCCCCACTCCTCGGAAGGAAGGTTGTGCAATCTACTTCCGTAGTGATACTGCTTCGGAAACCGAAGGAGGGGTCGCTACGAGTTGGGTCTGACTTCATGGCACATAACAACAACAACAACAACATAAATGTATAAAACATGCTCCCAATTTTCTAAAACATAAGTATAGATCTATTAACTAGAGAGAAATAAGGGCTGTTAATATTTTGATGTAAGTCTTGATAGTAAGATTAATGTTAGTTTCATCTTTTATTTTACTGAATTAAAAAAATCCACTAGGTCAGTATATATCTTCTATTCGGAAAAAATATAATGGATCAAAATGGTGCGCTGTACACAAGCTTTTCTTCTCTAGTCTCAAATCTCTTAAATTGAAAGCAAATTTATTTGTATAAACTGTGTGTGTGTGTGGGTTGAATATTATTGAAAACAAGCAAATAAGCAAACAAAGACTTTGTGAAGAATTCCTGCAAGATAGAAAGCAGATGGAGCAACCCCAAAGGACACTGGAGGCGGGAGGCAGATTGCCAGAGGGGAGGAGAATGGGACCAGGCCAGTCTGGATCGAATTTGAGGGACGCAGTCTTCGGTACCCGTGAGGAAACGAGGGAGTGAGCTTCTGTGTCTCTGCGGATTGAACGCGGGTGCGCGCTTTGACCAGCAGGACTGCTGGCGGGAGGCGGGACAGAAATGAAGGCGGGCTCTGAGCGGGTGGATCCCCGAAGCTGCAAAGACCGCGGCGCCAGAGGGAGCCCCAGCAGACACGCGCTGCGAAGCAGAGACTCTATGGACTCTTAAGAGCTAGGCTGCTGCCTGAGCCTTTTGCCGCTGCAGCCTTCTCTCTCCTCCCTTGCCTGCTCTCCCTGTTGTCTCCTCCTCCATCGACATGCTGCAGCCATAGCAGCAGCAACAAGAGCTAAGTTAAGTGACCGATTCGGGGACTTGGGGTCTTGAGTCAGGGCGGGCTCAAGGCGCGGCAGTACTCCCGAGACCTCCATCTCCTGCGGCAGCCGCCTCTGCTGCAGTCTTCCCTCCCTGGCCGGAGAGGAAAGCACTGTCAATAGACGCACGCCGCCCGGGTGCCTACAACCAGCGTTAGAGCCAAGCCTAGGTGAAAGCCTTCCGCTTGGGAAAGGCAGAACAGAGGAAGACTTTAAGACCTCAACAATTGATTTCATTTTAAATAGTGTTCCCTTTTTGTCAGCTTATTCGAGCAAGCGGCAGTTTTGCATAAGCCCTCTGAAAACCAAACCATGTCGCCCCTGACCATGCCTCCGATGGGTGTAGATGGCGTGTCCGCATACCTGATGAAAAAAAGACACACTCACAGGAAGCAGCGGCGTAAGCCCACTTTTCTCACCCGTAAAAACATCGTGGGCTGCCGCATTCAACACGGCTGGAAGGAAGGAAATGAGCCCGAGGAACAGTGGAAGGGCACTGTACTTGAGCAGGTTTCCGTGAAGCCCACTCTCTACATAATCAAATATGACGGCAAAGATAGTGTGTATGGATTAGAACTGCTACTTGATAAGAGAGTTTTGGCACTAGAAATCCTTCCTGAGAGACTGCCAACTCCTCGCATCGATTAACGCTTGGCAGATTCCTTGATAGGGAAAGCAGTGGGGCATGTGTTTGAGGGCGAGCAAGGCAGCAAAAATGAATGGAAAGGCATGGTCCTGGGGCGAGCCCCCGTGATGGACACTTGGTTTTACATCACCTACGAGAAAGATCCGGTCCTCTACATGTACACACTTCTGGATGACTACAAAGATGGTGACCTGCGCATCATTCCAGATTCCAACTACTATTTCCCTATGGCAGAACGAGAGCCAGGAGAGGTGGTAGACAACCTCGTGGGCAAACAGGTGGAGCATGCCAAAGATGATGGGTCGAAGAGAACAGGCATTTTCATCCATCAAGTTGTGGCCAAGCCGTCAGTCTACTTCATTAAGTTTGATGATGATATTCACATTTATGTATATGGTTTAGTGAAAACTCCATAAATTCATTGTGCTCTTTGCAAAAGTTGTGGATCTATTAAATTTAAAATATTTTACGTTCTAGTGATTGTGTACTTTTGCGAGCATTCTTGGTGTTAAGAGATTCTAGACAGTGGATAAGTCTTTTTGTGCCTCCAAATATTACATTGACTAGTTTCATAGTTTTGCCCCAAGTGTACTTTGATACTTTTGGTATCATCCTGTTCTGTAATTGAAAATGTAAACTGGGTACTAATAGAAAATTAACAGGTGTTTAAAATAATTGGAACACTGCAATAGTAAAGAAAAAGTAATCAAGTAACTTCAGCTATTTCCTTCACTCCTTTCCCTCAAAGGTATGCTAACCATACCTTTCCCATATTTCCCCATGCTCAAACAAAAATTTGCTGTTGCAATCTTTTCTGTAGAAAAAAATGATAAGTCACATTCATTTCTCTGTAATTGCTTTTTTCACCTGGCATGTCAGTGATGTGTCTCTTAATCAGTGGCTACATATCACTTTACCAGTTACTCTCTCAATACATGCACAGTACTCTGCGTGTGTATCAAAAAGTATTCAACCATCCCTTACTCATGTTACTTTCTTTTTCCTTCACCTAACACTGCTACAATACATACCTGTGTTTTTCATTTCTATAGGTTAGAGTCTCAGAAATGAGATTTCTGCCATGTATGTTTAACTTTATGAGATATTACAAGATCATCATCTAGTATCCTCTCTGGCCCTCTAGATATTTGCATATCTGAAGGGTGAAAAATTATATTGTTTTTTACCTTAATTTACTTTATCTAACTCAAGTGAGATTATTTTTTCATATGCTTATTGACCAACTGGACTTTTTTTTTCTTTTGTGATTTGCCAATTCTTATCTTTTGTTCACTTGTCTCTTAAATTGGTGAACTTTTTCTTACAAATTTGTAGGAATTCTTGCTATAGAAATACATATTAATCATTTGTAACTCATATGTGTTATGATGTTTTATCCTTTCATTAATCTTGACTATAGCATAGTGCCTAAGGTGCTAACCAGAAGGCTTGTGGTTCAAATCCACCAGGCACTCCTTGGAAGGAAAGTTGGGCAATCTACTTCTGTAGTGGTACTGCCTTGGAAACCCAAGGAGGGGTCGCTATGAGTCAGATTCGACTTGATGGCACATAAAAACAACAACAACAACAACATGTTGATATCTTTTACTTTAAAATATTTTAAAAATTTGATGTAGTCAACTCTTTCATTGCTTTTTTATTTCCTGTCTTTCTCAGATTGCTGCCTCCAAGTCATACAAATATTCACTTACATTTTTTTAAAAAAAATATTCTTTGATCCATTTGGACTTTATTTTTGTATATGGTATAAGACAGAGTTCCAATTATATGTTCTGTTCAAGTTGGCTGCTTGATTTCAAATTCCTAAGCCAATATCATCATATTTTAAAAATTATATTGGGTTGACCATAAATGTTAGAAGCTGATAAAGCAAGTCTTCCCTCATTTATTTGTTTTTCTTTCTTTCAGACAATTTTTCTTACACAGAAATACTTTCATGTAAAATTTAAAAATATATTTCTACATTTAAAAATTATGTTACATTAATTAGAATTGTGTTAAGTTTCTGCATCCTTGTTTGGAGGGTTATTTTAATAATACTAATCCTTAGCATTCAAGAAATTTGGTACATCAGTAAAATATTTGGTGTTGTTTTTGTACTGTTTTTCATTAGGGAAATTGTTTCTGCTTGACAATTTTAAAGTACTTTACATTTTTGTGGTCACTTTTTAAATTTTTTCCCTCATTAATATCTTGTTATCAGTAATATAGAAAATCTACAGGTTTTGGATCCTCAGAAGGAAGGCTGGGCAATCTACTTCTGTAGTGATACTGCTTCAGAAACCCAAGGAGGGGTCGCTATGAGTCGGGTTTGACTCGACGGCAAATGACAACAACAACATCTTCTATCTATTAAGTTTGTTAAATCCTCTAAATCAAAGTGTTTTTTCTTTTTTTAAATAGAATAATTTGTTCTTTCTATAAACAATAATTTTACCTGAAATTGGACGTAATTTTATTTCTTCTAATGTTTATACTGATTATCGTATTAACTGGAGTCAACAAAATAATGTTGAACAGTGATAGATGCTATTTTTCTTAATTTTCATGGTAATGTCTTTAGTATTTCCTGTTAACATGACATTTGCTCTTGGTTATTGGTAAATTTTTATTACCATGTTCAGGGATTTTCTTCTATTCCTGTTTTAAATATCATTACAAGAAGTGGCTACTAAGTTTTAACAAGTGTCTTTCTAGTGTCTCTTGATAATACCATGTGATATTTTTCCTTTAATTTGTTTATATACTGAATTATTGTTGTTTTTATGTGCCATCGAGTTGGTCCCAACTCATAACGACCTCTCCTTGGGTTTCCGAGGTGGTATCACTAGATATTTTATGTTGAACCAAACTTAAATTTTTGAAATAAGTCCTCTTTAGTCATGGTGTAATAATTATTAATAATTTGCTACATTGCTGGATTCTATTTACCAATTTATTTAAACTTGTTACATTTACATGTATAGATGTTGTACTTTTTATCTTTCTTACACTGTCTTTATCAAGTATTGTTATTAAAGTTGTGCTAGCTTTAAAAAATGAATTGGTGACTTTTCAGTCATTTCCTGTAGTCTGTAACAGTTTAAATAACATAAGAATTACAGTATTTGGAAAATTGGAAAAAAATTTAACTTAATTAACTGTAAAATAATCCAATCTTGATAACTCTTTGGATATTATATCTTAAAAAAATGTGTATCCTCTGTTTGTGAATACAGATAGTCCCTGGGTTATGAATGGGATCTGTTCCTCAGTCTGTCTTTAAGATGAATTTGTAGGTAAGTTGAAACACACACATATGGTTCTTATTTACCATCAATTAGTCAAATGGTTGCCTTTGTATATATTATATATTTTACTTTTCTGTGCATATAAAATACTTAAGTAACACTTGCAAATACAATAAAACATCTTGAATATAATAGTGCAATATATAATAATAATACAATAATAAAAGCAATTACATATGGTAATGTACTGTAAAACGAGAGAATCTTTGTGTATGTGAATAGGTAGAAAAACTAGAAAAACATGAAAGAAACTGTTCTTAAAACAGTTTAGATAGAAAGAAAAGAAAAAAGGTTATGATTAAAGGTTAACACTTACTGTCTTTCAACCAATGTCTTGCATACTGGAAGGGGCATTTGTGTGATTACATTCATAATTGATGATGCAAGTGAAGATGATGGAGAGGTGGCTACTGTTGAAAATGATAGGCCTGATTTTGGATAGAATGGCCTGGTTTTGGAGAGGTTGAACCCGCTGCTGGAGAGTCAGAGTTAGATTCTACTGCTAGAGAGAAAATGTATACTACTGGAGTCAATTTCTTGAAGTAGGCATCAAGGGATATTTATACAGAGATTTTCTTTTTCGTTACATGCTAGCTGAGGCCATTGGTAACTGTACAGTAAATTTTGGTCAACCTCTGTGTATTAGGATCTTGCTCCTCTAACTTTGCCATCCCTGCTTCAATGAGACAAAAGTCTTCTGCTAACTCTTTCATCCAAAACATTTTGTGTTCTGGAATTTTTAAGTCCTGATCTTCTTCCTCAAATGCTATAATTTGCTCCTCTAGTTCTATATGGTATTTATTTTCAATACTGATCATTTTTATTTTATTATTTTTTTTTTTTGATGCATCATCAGCATCAAAAAACAGTGGATTTATGCTTTCAAGGCATGGTTACAAGGGTAAATAAGGAACATTTAAGCCAAATGCAAATTTATACACTCAACATAGTGTCAGTGGCAACATGATTTGACTTTAAACAGGAAGATGGCATTCACCTTCCTCCACCTGAATTGCTGAAGCCACACAATGCTTTCATGACCATTCCAAAGTAATGAATGTGTTTGTTCTTATGAAATATATTTTTTAGAAATATTGTGATTTAGGTGAAAGTTTACAGAGAAAATTCATTTTCCATACAGCAGTTCATATATACTTTGTCTCATGACATTGACTGAAATTTCCCACAGTGTAACAGCTCTCTTCCCACTTCTCCTCCCTATAGTTACCTCTTCCCTGTGTCCTTCCCTCCCATGTGCTCCTGCCCTTCAGCTATCTCCCTGTGCATATACAACCCTTCTATTCTCTCATGATTGATCTCTGCAAGGAGTGTATCATATGCCTTTTGTTTGGCTAGAAGCCACAGGAGTGGGTTGAGTACTAGACCTGAAGAGCAGCTAGAGGCCATAGTCTCAGGGGTTCCATCAGGTTCTATCAAACCAACAAACCTGCCCCCCCCCTTTTTTTAAATCATTTTGAGTTTTGTTCCACTTTGTTCTCCCACTGTATCCAGTATCTCCTACTTAGATCCCCTTCTGAGTGGCTAACAGTGGTAGCAGGGCACCATCTAGTTCTTCTGGTCTCATAGTCATATAAACGGAGGATCACATGATGTACCAGTCCATAATTGTTTCTATGTATCTTTGTGAACCATTGTTTTTAATTCATATTTTTAGTACAATTGCATTTTAATACAATACAATAATAACTGAGTTGTTCATAAGTGAGACATTCTTAACCCCAGGGACTTACTGCACAAAATTCTCTCTGTATTATCATGCCTGTTGATTATATCATTCAGTTTCTTTATGTCCTTGCTTATATATCAACAATATCTGTCAAATTCTAAAAATATTGTAGTAAAACATCAGCTACAACATTTTAAGTTCTCTCTGTATTATTTCATAATTTAAAGAATTAAAACAATATAAGAAAGTAGGAAAGATATAATAAACATTTGTTTACTTCCATCCAAAGTTAACAAATGTCAATATTTTGGCATATTTGCTTTAGATATAGATTTATATTTTTAAACAATCAGAACATTAGAGATAATATTTCCCTTTCTCAGTACCAGATCCTTTCTTCATCTCCAAAGGCAGAAAC